TTATGGAAACAATACAATATATAATAAGCTGCTCACAGAATAGATTCATCTGTCTTCCCCCAAAACAGTCTCTGACATCAGTAGTCCATTCCTGGAAATTCACTCCTCCTCAAGGAAATCTGTACTCTCATTTAAAAAAAAAAAAAAAACAACAACTAATGAAGCTACATGGAAGACAAAAAGGACTTTTCCAGCTCTAAGATTTGTTGATTAAACCTGTTAGTCCAAACTTAGTTCCAAAAGGTACCTCAAATATGGTTTCATTCACTTAACAATATTTGAGAGGCTCACTATGGTATAGACTTGCTATGCACAAAGTTGGCCAAATATATATCTTGACTCTCAGGGAGCATGTAGTCTAGACTTTAGAAAAGAGTAGGGAAGAGAGTGAGTCAGGGAGGAGCAGGACTAGAAGAAACCCAAACAGGAGGCTTCAGATAATTTATCAATATAATCAAAGGTATTTAGGCAAATTGGGTTAATTTTATTTCATCCCTGCAGACCATATGCACTTCCTTTGATTCTGAGAGTGTTAGCTTATGCAGTCCTTAGCGACCCCATGGACTGCAGCCTACCCATGGGGTCGCTAAGAGCTGGACACGACTGAGCGACTTCACTTTCACTTTTCACTTTCATGCATTGGAGAAGGAAATGGCAACCCACTCCAGTGTTCTTGCCTTGAGAATCCCAGGGACGGGGAGCCTGGTGGGCTGCCATCTATGGGGTCGCACAGAGTCGGACACGACTGAAGCGACTTAGCAGCAGCAGCAGCAGCAGCAGTTTATGCAGTCCAGACCCCTTTAAGGAGGAGGTGAACATTCTCAGTCTTGCTTTCCTTAAGCCTTGTGCAGCAATGTGTTTTGCCTGAGAACTGGCCTTTCTTTCAGAGCTAATGATTACACAGCATAATGTCTTACTTATGGAAACGCTTTTCTTAGGCTCTATGTTAATTATGATAATTGTAACAAATCTTGCCTGGGAACCTGTGTCTCAAGACTTGTAGCTCTGATTACACAGCAACAGTATATCTTGATCAGAGAGGTTGCCCAGAACCCGTTGTCTCTGGCTAATCTTGTGCCGAAGTTATCTCAGGATGTTGCCTTGGGAAATGGTCTGATGGAACTCTTTCAACCTTGAGGTATTATTTTTTATTTATTCTCAGCAGCCAGTTGAAAAGTATATAATGCCTCACTTAAACTTTGTGCCCCTTCCAGTGATTTTGTTGGAAGCTTTCTCTATCACTGTTACTTTAATAAACTTTACTGCACAAAGCTCTGAGTGACTGGGACTGTGTCTTTTGGTCCCGGACTGAAATCATCTCTTTTGGAGCCACAAACATGTTTGACAATGGTCTCAATGCTAAGCTATCAATTCTAAACTTCATATAGTAAATAAAACTTAAGTTTTGAATGATATATATTAATTTTGAAGAGACGGTTTTCAGTGAACATGATGTCACTGCTTTATATAATTGGCATTATCTCATTTTCTTAAATTAAAAAAATACGTATTTGTTTATTTATTTGACTGCATCAGGTCATAGCTGTGACGTCAAGGCTGTATACTGTCACTGTGCTTATTCAAATTATGTGCAGAATACATCATGAGAAACACTGGGCTGGAGAAAGCACAAGCTGGACTCAAGATTGCTGGGAGAAATATCAATAACCTCAGATATGCAGATGACACCACCCTTACGGCAGAAAGTGAAGAACTGAAGAGCCTCTTGATGAAAGTGAAAGAGGAGGGTGAAAACGTTGGCTTAAAGCTCAACATTCAGAAAACTAAGATCATGGCAGCTGGTCCCATCACTTCATGGCAAATAGATGGGGAAACAGTGACAGACTTTATTTTCTTGGGCTCCAAAATCACTGCAGATGGTGACTGCAGCCATGAAATTAAAAGACGCTTACTCCTTGGAAGAAAAGTTATGACCAACCTAGATAGCATATTAAAAAGCAGAGACATTACTTTGTCAACAAAGGTCCATCTAGGCAAGGATATGGTTTTTCCAGTAGTCATGTATGGCTGTGAGAGTTGGACTATAAAGATAGCCAAGCACTGAAGAATTGATCCTTTTGAACTGTGGTGTTGGTGAAGACTCTTGAGAGTCCCTTGGACTGCAAGGAGATCCAACCAGTCTATCCTAAAGGAAATCAGCCCAGAATATTCATTAGAAGGACTAATGTTGAAGCTGAAACTCCAATACTTTGGCCACCTGATGCAAAGAACTGACTCATTTCAAAAAAAACCCTGATGCTGGGAAAGATTGACGGAGGGAGGAGAAGGGGTTGGCAAAAGATGAGATGGTCGTATGGCAACACCTACTCAATGGACATGAGTCTGAGTAAACTCCGGGTGTTGGTGATGGACAGGGAGACCTGGCATGCTGCAGTCCACTGGGTCACAAAAAGTTGGACACAACTGAGCGACTGAACTGAACTGAACTGATCCGACTAAAAGATGAACACTTCTGCACAGGAAAGAGGTCATAAATTTCACTAAAGGAAGTTCTTGAGACTCAGTTGCTTTTGTTTTATTTTTTATTACTTATTTTTTACCTTATTTTTAATTGTACTGGGTATTCATTGTTACAGGCTGGCTTTCTCTAGTTGTGGCTGGCAGGGGCTGCTTTCCAGCTGTCATTGGAAGGTTTCCCATTTCAATGGCTTCTTTTGTTATGGAGCACAGACTCGGGTGCACTGACGTCATTGGTTGCAAAACACAGGCTCAGTCACTGTGGCTAATGAGCTCTAGATCATGGCACTCAAGCTTTGTTGCTCCTCAGTATGTGGAATCTTCTTGGACCAGGGATCAAACACATGTCCCCTGCATTGGCAGGCGGATTCTTATCCACTAAGTCATCAGAGAAGCCTAAGAATCAATTGCTTTAGGAAGTGAAAACTTAGAAGAAACTCAAGCTATGGTATTTTTTGAAAAAGAGGGACAAAGCATACACTCAATGAAGTTGAAGATTTGGTATTTCTGATTACCAGTGTATTTATATAGGTTATTAACAGTGATTCTCCCATCCCAACATCCATGTCTCCTCACAAGGACAAGAAAGACCTGCTGGCAAGTTTCCTCGGGGCCCTATTCATATCCCTGTTCCTCAAGCTGTAGATGAAGGGGTTCAGCATAGGGATGACTACGGTGTACCCCACTCAGGCAATTGCCTGCTTTGAGAAGGAGGGGGGAGAAGGCAGAGCTGAAATACACTCCTAATCCTGTCCCATAGAATAAGGAAATGACTGTTAGGTGAGACCCACAGGTTGAGAAAGCTTTGTACTTCCCCTCCACTGAAGAGATGTTCAATATGGAGGAAATAATCTTAGTGTAAGAGAAAAGGATCCCAGCAAGTGGAGGAATTCCCAGCAATCCATTCACAGAATACAGCATGATGTAATTGCTGAGAGCATCCGAATAGGCAGACTTGAGCACCACAGCAAATTCACAGAAGTTCAGAATTTCCACGTGTGTGCAGAACAAGAGATGCCATCAGACTGCAAGAGGCTGACTGGGACACTGAGAGATCTGGAGACTAGAGCCAGCAGGTCTCACAGGTGGGGACTCGTGGTGATTGTGTAGTGCAAGGGGTGGCAATGGCCACATAGTGGTCATTGGCCATCACAGTCAGGAGGAAGTTGTCCAAATACCCAAAAACCAAGAAAAAATACATCTGGGTGATACAGTCTCATAGGTGATAACTTTGCTCTGTGTCTGGATATTTGCTAGCATTTTTGGAACTACAGTGGAATTGAAACAAATATCAGAAAGAGACAGGTGGGAGATCAAAAAGTACACTGGGGGTAGAAGTGGGGATCAGAGCTGACAGTGAGGATGATGAGATTCCCAAGCACCAGGACCAGGTACGTGGACAGGAAAAGCCTGAAGAGGAGGGACTGCTGGTATGGATCTTCTGAGAGTCTTGAGAACAGGAACTTTGAGACAACTTTGGTTTTCTGCATCCATGTAGCTGATCACTGTGCCAGGTAACCGACAAAGCAAAGCTAATTCAAATAAACAGGAGTCCCCAAATATAAAGAAACTTTATCCTATTAATGAACACCCCCAGATAAATGGACATGAGTTTGAGCAAACTCCAGGAGATAGTGGAGGATAGGGAAGCCTGGCGTGCTGACATCCATGAAGTTGCCAGGAGACACAACTGAGTGACTAAACAATCAGGAAAACGAGGGGAAAACCCCACACATTTTGACTAACAACCTAATGTGCCTCCCTGAGAGCTTGATAAACACCATTATCTTGTACAGATATTATTTTAGGGAAAATTTCTTCCTCTCTTCTAACTTTTTCACAAATAAGTGACTGCCTTCAAGACCATCAACCTTTGTGGTGTCCAGCTCAGCGTCAGGTGTAGCATGTAAATGGCTTGAACATTCTTCCTTCTTTGGGGTGGAATTTTGCCTCTTGGATAATTCTGCTTTTTCCAAAATTTCTGTAGTAGTCGAGCAGCTCCATGTGTGTTGGTGGTGCATTTACCCCACTTTGCTCTGTGGCCCTACCCCCTGACAACAACGAATTTGATCAGAAAGTGGTGTCTGGCCGAATCTGGCCATCTCAAGGATTGCCAAGTTTGTCAATATGGGAGAATCTAATTTTAAGCGCTCCAGGAATCTGAGAACAGGCAAGCAGAAAAGTTTTTGAGTAGCATCGTTTTGGGTGAGTAACCATCGCCAGCCTCTCCCATCTGCCCTCTAAACCCAGAACTGTTACCCAAAACTCGCCTCCAAACCTACAGCCTGGTATGGGCCCCGCCTTCTGCTTGCAGCTCCGCCCATAGAGTTAGTTCTGGCCTCAGCCGCTTCCTCTGGGCCTGCTTCTGCCTGCAGTCCGCATTCTGAGCTGACCTAGGGGTCCCGCTCCAAAGCAGTTATCTCTGCTAACAGAACTTGCCAATCAATCGAACTTGAATGGCAGCCAGCGTTCCGGAACCCCGCCCCTCTACAGCCGCGGCACTAAACGGAAGTGGCGTCACTGGCTCGCGACAGCATTTTGATCGGGCTGGTCTGCGCCTGGTGGAAAGAGGTAGGCTTGTCGTCCCGTGTTTCACATTGTTGTGAGTGAGTCTTGCGTCGAGGCAGGGTTCTGGGATGCACCGAAGTCGTTATACAGCATGTTGGGCCTGGCTTCCGAGGGGACTCCTGAGAGAGGCCTGGCCCCTCCTTTTGAGTCCGCGGGATCTGAGTCACCGTCGGGTGGTAAGTGCTGTGAGGGCGCGTCTAAGGGGTGTATTCATTCTCTGTGCTTCCCTATTTGAAAGCCTCCAATGAGTTCTTTGTGACTTTCGTCCACGAGGAAAAGAATTTCCGCTGTAGTGTGCGTTACTCCGTCCCCCACGTCCTCCGGGTGTCACGAACCTGGCCACACTGCCCTGTTGCTCAGAGTATTGGGGAGAGTTGGTTTAAACGCCTGCTTCTTTTGTATGAAAAGTAACGTTTCACCAAACAATTTGGCTTTCTGTTTGCACGTTTTTTAATATTACGTAGAGGTACAGATTCCTCGGATATCAAGACTGTGCATATTGCTCTATATAAATGTATGTAGATTACAGAACTTGTTTTAAAAACAAAACAAACACACACAAAACGAGAGCAGTTAACTCATCTGAAATACCTAGGGTCGTAAGATCCACAGTCAAACACGGTCTCCAGGAGATATGGTGGAGGCTTTTTGATACAGGTTCAAGAATGAGAAACCATAATTTGTTTGGATTAAATGTGTGTTTCCCCACATTATGTGATTGTGTAACGCCTAGAACCTCAATAAAATGTGACCTTCCAGTACAGTGAATGTTCGTTGTTGTAGGTTCATTTAGTTTTAGTATTTTCCATGCTTGTTCTCGCCTCGATTTACAAACACACCGTGGTGAGTTGTTTGAGAATAAGTTGAAAATAAATTGCATACATGATGACTTGCCTTTTAAATACTTGGTAATACTTCTTCTAAAGGTATGGGCATTATCCTACTAAATATCAGAATTCCATTATTTCACATAAGAAAGGTAAAAATAATATTTTGAAGTATCTACTATAATAAGTTAGCCTCTCCAGGTGGTTCCAAAATATATTTTTGGTACTTTGGGGATCTAGAACCCAATCAGGGCTTATATGTGACAACTGTTAATGCCTTTTAGTCTTTTTTAACCGAGATCACTTGACGTTGTCTATTAAATTCATTATATTGACACTTTAAAGAGTCACACATTGCTTAAAAAGCCACGGTTTTATATTTGTGCTTTTATATTCACAGTATGTTTAAGTTTTCCTTCATGTCCTGTAGTTTCTGTCAGTTGGTAATTGGTTGAGAGCCATGGTTGGCAAACTTACTGTCTGAAAAGGTTCAGATTGTTAGTGCTTGATGCATCACGAGCAATAAGGTATGGAATTACTCAACTCTGTCTTAGTAGTAGAATAATACTGTCGACTTAGGGAAACAAATAGGCATATCTGTGATCCAAAGAACTTTATTTACAAAAACACACCTGTGACCAAAATGTGCCAACTCCTGGTATAGAGTATTCTACTGGTTATTTCTTATGCATATTTTAAAGGTGATGTTGTATACATCAAGTTGGATTCCATCAGGAAATGTAAATTTAGGACATCCCTTGGTTGTGTTGCTAAGTGGGACTACTTGCTTAAGCTAGGAATCTTCAATGTTTTCTATTTTAATGGTAGACTTTCCTATAAAGTCCTAGGTGCAGTGATATTCTGATCCTCAGAATAGCTTGTTTCCCAGCACTTTGCTATAATTTCTTTTAGCATCTGTTATTAACTTGTGTGAATAAACTTCTCGGTATATTATTTCGCTTTTGGGGGGTATATTTTGAGGGTCAGCTTCTAGATTGTTTTTCTAGGTCATCAGACAAATGTATATTTACTTCAGTGGATATTAAATTCTCTTGCTTAGCTCTTGTGCCATTTTGTAGTTTCTGATCAACTTTAAAAGGCATATCTAAAACCAATTATGCAGAAATGCAAGGAACAAATTTTAGCTTTGACATCGGGACACTTGTTTTCAAGAAGAATGTCCCAAAAGAATTTTTTCATCTTCAATGAAAAATACACACTTTCTCAGAACTATAGCATTTTGATTTATGTTTTTGTTCCAAGACATTTCATGTGAGTCTTACTTTATTTTTATGTTGCAATTCTATTTTTTATATTCCCTCAATTGTGTGTACTGTACTAGAATATTTTGTGGAAAGTGGCAAATTGGCAGCCCACAAGTGGTTGTGGAATCCCTTTAATGAGTTAGGCTTTGTGCCAGGGACCAAGACACAATGGTGATATGTATACCTGTGGCTGATTCATGTTGATGCATGGTAGAAACTAACACAATATTGTAACGCAATTATCCGCCAATTAAAAATAAAAAATATTAAGTCTGTTGTTGTTCAGTTGCTCAGTCATGTCCAACCTTTGCAACCCCATGGACTACAGCATGCCCAGCTTTCCTGTCTTTCACCACCTCCCAGAGCTTGTTCAAACTCATGTCCATTGAGTTGGTAATGTCATCCAACCATCTCGTCCCCTGTCATCCGCTTCTCCTCCTGCTTTGTCTTTCCCAGCATCACGGTCTTTTTCAGTGAGTCAGCTGTTCACATCAGGTGGTGAGAGTATTGCAGCTTCAGCATCAGTCCTTCCAATGAATATTCAAGACTGATTTCCTTTAGGATTGACTGGTTTGATCTCCTTGCAGTCCAGGGGACTCTCAAGAGTCTTTCAGCACCACAGTTGTAAAACAAACTCTTTGGCGCTCAGCCTTCTCTATGGTCCAACTCTCACATCCATACATGACTACTGGAAAAACCATAGCTTTGAGTCTACGAACTTTTGTCAGTGAAGTAATGTCTCTGTTTTTTAATACAGTGTCTAAGTTTCTCATAACTTTTCTTCCAATGACCAAGACTTATTTCATGAGTGCAGTCACCATGCGCAGTGATTTTGGAGCCCAAGAAAATTAGTCTGCCACTGTTCCCATTGTTTCCCCATCTATTTGATGTGAAGTGATGGGACCAGATACCATGATCTTCAGTTTTTGAATGTTGAGTTTTAAGTCAGCTTTTTCACTCTCCTCTTTCACCTTTATCAAGAGGCTCTTTAGTTCTTCTTTGATTTCTGCCTTAAGGGTGGTATCATCTGCATATCTGAGGTTATTGATATTTCTCCCAGCAGTCTTGATTCCAGCTTGTGCTTCATCCAGCCCAGCATTTCATGTCATGTACTCTGCATATAAGTGAAATAAGCAGATGACAATATTCAGCCTTGACATACTCCTTTCCCAATTTTGAACCAGTCCGATTTTCCATGTCCAGTTCTCACTGTTGCTTTTTGACCTGCATACAAGTTTCTGAGGAGGCAGGTAAGGTGGTTCTGGTTTTTTTAATCTCTTTAAGAATTTTCCAGTTTGTTGTGATCTACAAAGTCAAAGGCCTTAGTGTAGTCAGTGAAACAGAAGTAGGTGTTTTTCTGGAAAAACATATGGAAACCCATGATAGAAACTTTTCATGTGAATACTGTGGTGACTTTTTTGTTAGATCTGAGATTAGGACGCATCAAAAATCTCATGTTGTAGAGAGTCCTTTTTTATGTAAACAATGTGGAAAATACTTTAAATGTTCCTTATGCCTTCAGTGTCACAAAAATATTCACTCTGGATTAAAACCCTACAAATGTGAGAAATTTGGGAAAGCCACATTTGTTGATTGGGTTGTTTGTTTTTCTCTTTTGATAGTGAGCTCCATAACCTATCTGTATATTTTGGAGTCTAACCCTTCCGTATTGCTTTCTTAGAAAATTTTTGCTCCCAATTGGAGGGTTGCCTTTTTATCTTCTCTATAGTTCCTTTGCTTTGAAGAGTCTTTTAAGTTCAATTAGGTCCCTTTCAATTTCTTAAATTTTCAGTAGGTAGGTCAAAAAAGATCTCATTGTGACTTATGTCAAAGAGTGTTTCTCCTATGTTTTCCTCTAAGAATTTTATAGTGTCTCGGCTTAAGTTTAGGTCTTTAATCCATTTTTAGTTTATTTTTGTGTAGGGTGTTAGAAAGTGTTCTAATTTCATTCTTTTACATGTAGCTGTCCAGATTTCTCAGCACCACTTATTGAAGAGTCTCTATTTTCTTCATCAGATATTCTTCCCTTTGTCATAGGTTAGGTAACCAAAGGTGGGTGTGTTTATCTCTGGACAAGAATGCAAAGAAGAACTATAGAAAAAAGGTCTTAATGACCCAGATAACCACGATGGTGTGGTGACTCATCTAGAGCCAGATATCCTGGAATGTGAAGTTAGTGGGTCTTAGGAAGCATTACTACAAACAAAGCTAGTGGAGGTGATGAAATTCCAGCTGAGCTGTTTAAAATCCAAAAAGATGATGCTATTAAAGATGATGACGCTGCACTCAGTATACCAGCAAATTGAGAAAACTCAGCTGTAGCCACAGGACTGGAAAAGGTCAGTTTTCATTCCAGTCCCAAAGAAAGGCAATGCAGAGAATGCTCAAACTACAGCACAGTTGTACTCATCTCACATGCTAGCAAAGTAATGCTCAACGTTCTCCAAGCTAGGCTCCAACATTACGTGAACTGAGAGCTTCCAGATGTTAAAACTGGATTTAGAAAAGGCAGAGGAACCAGAGATCAAGTTGCCATCATCCATTGGATCATAGAAAAAGCAAGGGAATTCAAGAAAAACATCTACTTCTGCTTTATCGACTACGCGAAAGCATTTGCCTGTGTGGATCACAACAAACTGTAGAAAATTCTTCAAGAGATGGGAATAGCAGACCACCTTACCTGACTCCTGAGAAATCTGTATGCAGGTCAGGAAGCAATAGTTAGAACCAGACATGGAACAACGGACTGGTTCAAATTGGGAAAGGAGTTCAAATTGGGAAAAGGCTGTATATTGTCACCTTGAGAACCAGACATGAAACAACGGACTGGTTCCAAATTGGGAAAAGGCTGTATATTGTCACCTTGCTTATTTAACTTATATGCAGAGTATATCATGTGAAATGCTGGACT